GTCCAGTTGGGCGGGGAGGACGGCCGCCTGGAGGCGGCCTGGTCCAGGGACCAGCTGTACCTCCCCAACGACCCGTGCTACCGTGACACCCCCCTCTGCCCAAGGTTGGAATGCAATCGACACCCGTTAAGCCACTCTTAAATGAATTCAAAATGAATTTGAAAAGTCGAATGAAGGTAAAATGTCAAAGTTTGGTCACGCTTGTTGTGCCGCAGCCCCTGCAGCAGCCTGTCGTCCCGCAGCTGGATGTCGGAGCTGTCGTCCTGCGACTCGTTCTCGCACGCCATCGACGAAGACGCCGATGGCGATCTGCAGAACGGCGCCCGGCTGCTACCGCCGGGCTCCCCAGGCAGCGGCGGCGGACGAGGAGGAGGAGGAGAGTTTGGCGTGGAGCTGTGGCAGCAAAAGTATCAAAACGTCCAGAAGCCGGCCTGCTTCAGCCCAACGTTGTCGCCTTACCAGTCTCCTCAGCACTCGCCTCGTGCCAGCGTCAGCGAAGACACGTGGATGAGCCGCCGCCCTTCCTCCAGGTCACCGCGTTTTACGCTGAACCCCTTTTTTTTTGATCAAACTTTATTGCACCCATTTCCAAACGCGATTCCGGCAGAAGCCATCCGATTTTGGTCCAAAATCCGTATCATTTATTTGCTGCACATCATGTATCTTAGTCGCAATGTAAAGACATTCAACCCATCTGCAATTCATCTCTATTTCTTGAGCAATACGGCTGAAATGGGATCGTTGTGATGACCTATCACAGCCCAAAGTTCAGTCGATCGACTCCTTTATTGAGGCAGAAAATGTAAAGGGGTAGATGAAGTTAACGCGGTCCATCCGTCCATGTCTCCTGCACAGACCGTGCTCGCGTCCCACATCGCCGTGTGGGAAGCGTCGTCACGACAACGCAGACGACTTCTCACGCTCGCCGTCCCCTCAGCGCTCGCCCGGCGTCACGACAGGCGCGTCCCCGCGAGGCAACGCGACGGACGACATCTGGGCGGGATTTCTCGGACACTCCGTCCACGAGCCGCACGTCCCCACCAAGACCAGGAAGACGTCCGGGACGCAGCCGGGCGCTCTGGTGGGAGATTCGCCGCCGGAGGAAGAGAGTGGCGATGGGGCCCACCACCCACCTGGTCAGGAGTCACATGATGTGATCGGCCTGGCCGAGCTCTTCCTGCAGGTGCCCGCCCACTTCAGCTGGACCGCCCCCACACCGGGAGCCGCGCCCCTTTTCAGGTACTCAACTCTTTGATGTCATTCACGCATCACTCCCATTCATGAGCAGACAGCGACAGGTTGGCACGTCCGCCTGAACGCTGCAAAGGTGCAGGGTTTGATTCTGGGCTCTGGGGAGTTTCCATGTTCTCCCGCGTGGGTTTTCTTTGGGTACTCTGGTTTCCTCCCGCAGGGCAAAAACAGGCACTGTTGGTTCATTGAAGACTCTTAATTGTCCTTTGGTGTGATTGTGAGCGCAAGTATTTTTGTCTACATGCGCCCTGTCATCGGCCGGCAATCGCTTCACGGTGCACCCCGCCTGTTGCCCAAAGACGGCTGGGATGGGCTCTGGCACGCCCGCGACCCTCCTGAGGGGAAGCGGATCAGATGATCAGATGACGGATGGATGACCAGACAGGAAATTGAAATATGGCATTGTCAGACAGGAAGTAGAACCATGGCCAGGCAGAAAATACAAACATGACCTGACAGTAAGTGGGAACATGACGAGAGGGCAAGGTTTTACTCGGCGACGCAGAGAATAGAAACATGATGAGACCGCGAGAGAGGCGGTAGAACGATGACTAAACAGGAAGTAGAAACATCACGTGACAGGAAGTAGCACCACCGCAAATCGAGGCTTGCCAAGAGAGGAGGTGGATTGATTCTCGGCTTCCCTCAGAGCCTCGTCTCCTCCTCCTCTGGACTTTCCTCTCCCGAGCGACTTCGGGCCCAACCGGCTGAGCGTGGAGGCGGAGCCCCGCCCGTACCACCGAGCTCACTACGAGACCGAGGGCAGCCGAGGGGCCATCAAGGCCGGCGACGGAGGACACCCCAGAGTCAAGGTGAGCAGCGGGGCTTTAACTTGATTAGTTTTTTTTGCTAACTTGCAGTCATTCCCCAATCCCAAATTATGTTTTCCGCCTGTTTCCACATTGGACCGGATTTCTTTTTAAGCAAACATTCCAAATGACCTCCACACGAGTTTCTCTTCATTTCAATGGCAGACAAACGGAACAACTTGAAATCGGTGACGCTGTCTGTAAATGTCGCGTTCGGTCGACTTGGCGAACGTGAACGTCTCCGGCGGGATTTTGTGCGCAGCTGACCGGGCCGTGCTGGCGCCCCCCCGCCATTCTGCTCCTGTTTATGGGCACGGCGGACGAGCGCCAGCCCCTGCGCCCGCACGCCTTCTACCAAGTCCACCGCGTGACGGGCAAGACGGTGAGGACGACCTGCCAGGAGAAGACGCTGGACGGGACCAAAGTCCTGGAGATCCCCCTGACGCCCGACAGCGACATGACCGCCACGTAAGCCGCCATGACAATCGCAAAAAATGGACAGAGAATGCCGCTTACCTCTCGTCGCGAGACGTAAAGTCACTGGCGGCCATCTTACGATGCCGCTCGCGACGCGCGCTTAACTTGAATCCGTTTCTGCCTCGAAGGGGAAAAATGCCACAGTTTGTGGCGAGCAGTTGTACCATGAAACTCTGCATGCACATTGTATTGCTAAGAATGCGCAGTCATCACCTCCCATAGTGTCCCGCATTGTGTACCATTATCGCTTAGCATCTCCCGTGATTTTTTTTCAACCCCAAAATAGCCAAAATGTTTTCCTGTATTGGACAAAAATTCTGAACCATTTTCACATTTTATATATGTTCATCAGTACCTAGAATACGTTAAAAAAAAAAAAAAAAGTACTGACATTCCAATATCTTAAAAGTCGAATGGAAATTTGTCATTTATAGAATCAAAGAAGTTGCCCGTCATTGTTGCGGACATTGCGTTTCCTGTTTCTGGCGGCAGTACGGCCAAATAAGAGCTCAGTTGCCTCCTTGGTGCTCCTTTTTGCTGACCTCACTGATGTTCTTCTTGGGACTGGTGCTGCGATGATCAGGAAGCTCGTATCGGCACGTTTGTCCGTCTGGTCATCTGTTGATTAGCCACATTAGCGCGCCAGCAGTTGGCTGTTTGCATCACCTAATGATGTTGTACAGAGTGGGGGGGGGGGGGGGGGGGGGGAAACGCTATTTTTTTTGTATTGCTCACAGGAAATTACGCGGTCTTTTTTTTTTTTTTTTTTGAAAGGCTTCTGTCATTGAAAAGAAAGTGTCAAAAGGCCGCCCGTCCAGAACTCAACAGTGAAAGGACAAGATATGGAAAAGACAAGTAAAATGGCCGCTTGTTGGAAAAAAAGTGCGTTGTTTTGTGTTGTCCAGCATCGACTGCGCGGGAATCCTCAAGCTGCGCAACGCCGACATCGAGCTCAAGAAAGGCGAGACGGACGTGGGCAGGAAGAACACGCGGGTGCGCGTGGCATTCCGGGTGGCGGTGCCGCGGTCGGACGGGTGGACGCTGTGGCTCCAGACGTCCTCGCGTCCCATCGAGTGCTGTGAGTGCGGCCTCGCCTCCTCGCCGCCGTCGGCTTCTGTTGACGCCGCGCCGTGACGCTTTGCAGCGCAGCGTTCGGGTCTGGACCTCCCTCACGTGGACGGCTTTACGCCCGGCAGTTGCCGGCAGGAAGGAGGACAGCCGCTGGTCATCCTCGGCTCCAACTTGTCCTCCCGCTCCAGGGTGGTCTTCTTGGAGAAAAGTTCTGGTGAGCTCTCGCCATCATGCCTCGTCAAGTATGAGCTCTAACGAGGGGCGTGTCCTCACTCACACCCTTCCTGTCAGATGGGCGTGTCCTTTGGGAGACGGACGCCACAACTGTGCCTCAAACGAGTAGCAGTGTAAGTGGCTTTCAACCATCTGGACGCCCAATACTCCCTCCACCCATCTTATCAGCTGTGTGTGTTTGTGTGTGTGTGTGTGTCAGTCCAGCCTCACGGTGGACATCCCCGTGTACGAGCGTGAGACGAGCGTTCCCGTGCACGTGCTGTTCTACGTGTCCAACGGCAAAAGACGGCGAAGCGCTCAGCAGAGTTTCACGTACCTGCCGGGAGCGCCCCCCGCTGCCCTTTTCAAACGGGAGCCCTGGGAGACGGGGCCGACATCTTGCCCCGGCGGGCCCCTCCGTCAAAGCCCGGGCGAGCCGGCGTGGCATCGAGGGTGGGCGCAGAGGCTGGACGGCGAACGCGAAGCGGAGGACACGCCCCCGGCGGTGGCGGCGGCGTCTCTGCCGGAACTCCAGGAGCTCACGCTGGACGACGGTAAAACCGCATCCTGCTCGTCATCTTGTTTTTCAGACCGCTGCCGCCGCTGTTTCGATGCGTGACATGTCATTGGCAAAGACCTGATGTCCGCTAACTTGCTTATGCCGGCACTGGAATTTACATTTCGACCCAGCTCAATCGATTCCAAAACAAAAGTGCTGCAAATTTAGGCAGTGAATCCGATTTTGCGTGCTCGGATTAATGGCGGCCGCTCAAAAGCAAACACGCGCGCTCCAGCTGATACGAGCTCGCAAGCTAGCTGGTATGTTTTGCTCACTTTTTACATGTTGTACCCAGGCTTGATTCCATACCAAAATTTATCGCTGCTGCACCAAAAAAAAAAAAAAATATATATATATATATATATATATATATATATATATCATGTGAAAAGGTGGGAAATTTCACATTTGCATATGATGTCATGTTGTTTTGCCATGTTTCATGTATTTTGCAAAACCCAGTAGTTGTTTGAAAGTGTCTAAAAACAATTGAGTGACATTTTTATGTGATGAATGTCACGTTAAAATATAACGGTAAAGCAAGACATGTTTTCACAAATATTATTTGCTTCTTCGATGAACAAATGGCATTTGGGTGAAAATAATTCCAAACTTCATTTGAGGCCCGCCGTTGTATTTTTTTTCACCCATGACTTCCCATCGTGTCTGATTTTGGATTGGTTGAGCACCATGACAACGGTTTGTGTTTGTGTGTGTGTGTGTGTGTGTGTGTGTGTAGTCAACGAGATCATCGGCAGAGACACGTTCAGCCTAAGCGGCGCCGACCCGCCCCACCAGAGTGAGCGGGACTCCAAGTGCGGCGACGCCCTCTTTACCTTCTGCGGCGGGCCGCACTAGCTCAGCCAGCCAAAGGCTTCCAACTCGCCTACGTGCCCTTCCGATCTACTTTTGTACTCCACTTCCTGTTTGTGTGCCTCTGCTGTGTCATGTGACTGCTGTGTTGAGTGATAAAAGTCTCGTTTTACCAAAACGACGGCGATTATGATTTCCAGGTCTGCAACGCGAGAACGAGCACGACGACGACAGTGCAGCGGTGCCTTGCAATACAAGTTCAGTTTGTTCCCCGAGCCCGCTTGTGTCTCAACACTCCCATCCCAAATCATTTTTCCTCATTGAAATGAATGGAATCGCAATTATAGTGTTCCAGCATGCTCAGACGACGGCAAATGTGAAGAGCTCACAGTTGCTTGTTATTCTTCTGTGGGCTCTTAAAGCAGCTTAATTTATTTTACTGGATTAGCACCAGCGACTGATTGCGTCCATCCACTGCACGGAAAAGGATGTGGCTTGCCCCGATCAAGGGGTGAGTTGTAAAGCACGCTAATATCTAAAATTTTGTGAGGCGGCGTGTGGATTTAGCCAGCATTTAGCGTTAACGTGAACAAGATGGGCTCAGCAGTAAAGTGGCGTTCCTATCCGAGAGCGACAGTGTGTGCTAATGTTGACGTTATCTCATATTCGCTAACGGTAGCTAGCTACGACACTTCCCTTGACACTGCTCAATGGAAACCTGCGGCCTCTTTCACTCATTATGTGCAGCTTAAATGTTTGTCTGCTAATGTAGACATTAGCTTAGCTAACGTTAGCCAGCCAGTAGCCACCACAGCTGGTAAATATTAGTCAGCACATCACCACTTATTTTGAATTTTGTGGCTAATGCTGCTTGAAGTTAACAGGATGTGCAAACCACATAAGGACAAAAACAGATTCACGTTTGGGATGATTATTAAAATAATATTACAGCCGACTGAAAAAAAAAAGGACAAAAGGTTGAGTTATTTCATCAGACAACCCATTTCTCGATGTCAGCCCAACAACTTGATAAAAGTTGCTTTTCACTAAGTAAGGCACCTTCATTTTGATCGAGTGCAGTCGCACATTACATACACGGAGAAAATCAACGTGCACTCGGCAACATTCCTGGAGCATTTGCGCTTTCCATTTTGCTGTTGGAGAATAAAAAAATGTCACTGATTTCCCGAGATGAGCATCAAGGTGCAGATGCAATTTTGCCAACAGGTCCAGACCAAAAAAAATTAATCCGTCACTTCCAAGTCAAGACGTCACTGTAATCTCAGTCAGCGTTTCCATTTGCAGCTGATGACTTCTGCACAATTCCTTGTAAATTAGAATGTCTGGTCACTGATGGGCTAATTTTCAAACAAGCTGGCGGGCTTACTCATGAGGTCCACGTGCAGGCGACCAGTCCCTTTTCATTTAAAGAGCTGATGGTCCGGATCCATCTGGACGAAGCAGACCTCGCGGACGGGTTGCCGCTCCGAGGATGTCCAGCAGCTGCGGGCGCAGGTGTAGACCAGCACGGTTCCAAAATCGGGCTGCGACCAGTCGCCGGCCGCGCCCGCGTCCTTCCAGCATAACAGGTTGACTAGCGCCGGCATGAGCTGCAGCTCAAACGTCAGCGGGCCGCCGCAGGATGCGCACGCCGACGCCATCAGCCGCTCGTTGGCCGGCGGTTCTGAGATAAAGAGCGGTCGCCCGCCGCGACAATAACGCAGGATCTGCTGAGGACACATCGAGATCCTCTTGCGGAACCTGGAGAAGTAATGGTCGCCATGACGCGCTCGACTCTTCTCGTACTTCTCGCCGCCGCCACCGTCGTCGTCAGGCTGGACCGCCACCGCTCCCTCCCTCCGCTCGTAGTCCCTCAACAGTTGCTCAGCGTGCGACCGCTCCTCCTCGTTGTCTTCGCCCCACGCATCTTCCTCGTCCACCACGCTGATGAAGAACGGTCGCAGAACAGGAACATCCGGTGGAGGCTCTGCCAGATGGAGGGCGTCCAGTTGGCTGCTCATGACGTCCTCTGGAACCACAACAGTGACAACTTTATTTTTTTTAAGTGACAGAGAAATTGACTGGCCGCTGTAAGTCAAACTTGATGTATCTGAAAACTGACTCTCCAAATATGGCACAAACGTCAAGTAAAACAAAGTGTAACAAGCAACTCAAGTTGAAATGCAAATGTAATACAATCAAAAGCAACTTTGCATGCCACTAAAAAGCAGCCAGCGTAAGTGGCAGTACTAGCAAACGCATTGAGAATCACTGGCCTACATCATTTCTAACTTGCCGTTAATAAAATAATTGGGGGTAAGAAATACCAGCTAAAGTGTTTTGTTTTCCTGTAACATTCGAATCTAATCTCGGCAACTAGGCTATTATACTAAAGACAGTTTAAATAAAATAATTTTGATTGTCATATCGAGTCGTAAGTCAAAGTGTTTTTTCCGCCCCCTGGCGGCCATCAAATGTGATGCATTAGGAGACAAACTTCGTTCCTTGCGTGTCATTTCGCCTCGTTACCTTTTTCGTCCTCCGGGACAGGTTTGTGGATGTCTTTCTTCTCCTCTTCCTCCCCCTCCTCGTAGTCGTCGTCCATGCCCCAGTCATCGGCGGAGTCACACCAGTCACCAACCGACAGAGGAGCCGCCTTCGTCGGCGCCGGCTCGCCGGACGCCTGCGCCGCTCTGCCGTCGTGCACCAGGCTCTGCGAGCGGAGCGCCGTCCAGCTGTCCCGCCGCCCGTCGCATCCGGCGGCCTGGCAAGCGAACAGCTGGAGGCTCCGGTGGTAGGGCGACTCCTCTAGGGGGCAGTACACCTGCACCATGTGGACCAGCGGGGCCGAGCAGCACCCGCAACTGGGAAACACTCGGGGTAGGCCCGGTACGACATCTGGAAGCCCGCCCACCTTATTGGTGAGGAAGGACGAGCGATACGTGAGGTCGTCCAATTCGCCGTCGCAAACGCCCAGAAGAGTCGACTCCCGTATGGGAGACGACATCGTCACACGTCAAACCACACACCCGTGTCACCGGTGAGGATATGAGGTCGGGGACCAGATCTGCTCCGGGGCCTGCGCTGGACGATGACGTCATGCAACGGCAAAACCGATAGGACAAACTACGTCTCGCCCATTAAATAACAGGAGCGGCTCGTGGCTTCTGCATTAGTTAAAGCATTTAACATCGAGGATCGAACATTTCAAATGTTCGATTCTCTGGTTTAAAACCATACAAATTTAATATTTGTATGGTTTTAAACCAGAGAATAGCATCTAACTGTATTTAGTAACTGTACTACAGTTATAATACGCCTCTTTAAATAAGAATCAGGACGTCCTCTGAAAATTTGTTCATTCAATGCACATCGGTGCTCGAACATCTGTAACATAAAGCAGAATCACAACTAAGTGTACAGTAATGTTAAGATGCAGTCAGATCATTAACTATCAATAGAAAAAAAAGGAAAAATATTTGTCAATATATTATGAATTTTTTAAATAAAAACAAGTATGCAGGTCAGATCTCTATCAATACAACAGGGAAAAATCTATATTTAATATATACCTCTTTCAGCGAAATGTTTGCTGTTTTACATATTTCCTATCTGTCCCTGCGCTTTCTAATTGCACCTCTAAAATGCCAGGTTTGGATGAATGGGAGACGACATCGTCACACGTCGAGCCACACACCCGTGTCACTGGTGCGGATGCGCGGCTCGGCGGCCAGATGGGCTCTGGGGCCTGCGCTGGCCGATGACGTAATGCAACGGCAAACCCGAAAGGACAAACTACGTTTCGCCCATTACACTACATAACAGGAGCGAGCGGCTCGTGGCTTTTTCATAGTTACTTCAAGCATTTAACATCGAGGATCGAACATTTGTACGGTTGTAAACCAGAGAATAGCATCTAACTATATTATATTCTGGAGAATCACAACGAAGCGTACAGTAATGTTAAGATGTAGTCAGATCATATAACTATCAATAGTTTAAAAAAAAAGCAAAAATATTTTTAAATATATTCAATTTTTTATGTAAACAAGTTGTACGCAGGTCAGATCTCTATCAATAGAACAGGGCAAAATCTATTTTTAATATATACCCCATTAAGCAAAATGTTTGCTGTTTTACATATTTCCTATTCCTCCCTGCGTTTTCTAATTGCACCTCTAAAATGCCAGGTTTGGATGCCACTGTGCTTCTTCTGTGTTCATCTTCAAAAAGTTAAATGTAAAAAAATTGAATAAATGAATTCAGAACCAGTTTAGTTTCATGAGTGGTCGTCATGTCAACTTTATTTATTGTCAGTAAAAGTGAGGTGATGGCGTAGAAAAAGTCAATGCGATGCTGATCAAACGTGATCAATTTTCTAACCATCCTGATAAAAAGAAACAAGTCACGATAGCAATGCAACAACAGCTTCTCCGTCAAAGAAGCAAACGAGTTGACACGAATGTGGTCCAGTCGGAAGCAAATGGTGACAACTTGACTGTCAGCGTGAACACAAAGCCTCCCGCCAGCAGGAGGCGCTCAAAGTAGGCGCCTCATTCATGATGTGTTCACTGGTCATCGTCGTGGTGGTGCTCGTGCGTGACGAGTGGCGCTCGGTTTGGCGGGAGACGGGCTTTGCTACTTCTGTGTTCATCTTCAAAAAAATTAAATGTAAAAACAATTGAATAAATGAATTCAGAACCAGTTTAGTTTCATGAGTGGTCGTCATGTCAACTTTATTTATTGTCAGGAAAAGTGAGGTGATGGCGTAGAAAAAGTCAATGTGCTGCTGATCAAACGTGATCAATTTTCTAACCGTCCCGATAAAAAGAAACAAGTCACGATGGCGATGGAACAACAGCTTCTCCATCAAAGAAGCAAACGAGTTGACGTGAATGTGGTCCGGTCGGAAGCAAATGTGACGACTTGACTGTCAGCGTGAACAGAGCCTCCTGCCAGCAGGAGGCGCTCAAAGGAGGCGCCTCATTCATGATGCGTTCACTGGTCATCGTCGTGGTGGTGCTCGTGGGTGACGAGTGGCGCTCGGTTTGGCGGGAGACGGGCTCGGATGCGCTGCCAGCGGCCCGGAGGCCAAATGATGTGAGACGCGCGGCCGTGCAGCAGCGCCAGCGACACCTTGCCGCAATAGAAAAAAAAGACACAGACATCGTTGAGTCACGTCATCAAGACCACGACATGCCCAAAACAGGACGTCGCCATTGTTGCTCTTTAACGCTGACCTTTAAATCTTCTGTTAGATTAGTTTCTCGGGAGCAACAATAATGTACCGGGCTCAATTGAACCCAGTCGGCGTGTGTGTAACTCAATGTTTAAAAAAAAAAAAAAAAAAAAATGCCAATACATTTTATGGGTGAATTTGCATTGGACAAAATTTAGAGGAGACACCTGTCATGTAGTACCACGTTGTGCCATAACAGGCTGAGTGGCAGCACTGAGATCTACCATAGAAGCCCTGCGAATAGTGAAAATTTATGCCGAATTGACACCCATTGTAATTACTTTTTTTTTCACAATATTTGACTGATTAACCCGTAGTCGCCCAACCTTAAGAAGCAGTGGAGTGTATTTCATCCTGAATACCATTAATAGCCATTTCCAGGACTTGCAGATCAGACGGTTCAAGAAGAATTCGCCCACTTTTCGATCGTAATTCATTTTGCAATGGGTCAGTTTGATCCGCAACCTAACAGGAGGGTTCATGTGGTGGTTTTGCTGACCGGGCCAAAGGTGTTGCTGTCCAGACTGTGCCCATGGTGGTCGCCCTCGATCCACAAGTGACCGTCAGGAATGCGCACGTGTCGCTTCTTGTAGCTCAGAGTCCTGCCCCAAAAATTTGCCCCGTCATGAGGATCACATGGCTTAGCATCCAAGAGTACAAAGGAAGTGTGGTTTCCATGGCGACTACCTGATGAAGTCTCCCTCCAAGCCGATGACGCGCTTGATGATCTTCTGCTCAGGATTCCTGGGCGAC